AGTGAAACGGCATAAAATACTAGAGAACCTTTTTATCACCGGAAAAAATAAAAAAAAAAAACACGATCAATTTTAGTCGATTTCATTTGGAACGCGAATTTTATGTAAACTGAAATCAAGAAAGAAATGAAAACAAATGATGAAGGTGGACACCGCACGGTGAAACCAGTTCAAGTACGAAGGTGTAACCTTTGGACATCTCAAATGTCGTGAACGGTCTTACTTTGACAGCATTTAAACATCTCAAATGTTTTAAAATTTTGTCGGCTTTGTTCAAGTGATTCGATGTAAGAGAATATGTGTTTTCTTTTTGGCGATATATGCTACCTATCGCATTTCTTGCGTTCACGTGACGTAAGTGAGAGTGGAATGAAATTGTTTTCCTTGGGAAAAGTGGAAAGCAAGAGGTCTTCTTCTTCAATTCAATAATGCAGAAATTGACATTATATTATTTTGGCCTTTTGATATTCCGTTTCGTCGGCAGCCACTAGATGATGTTAAAAAGTAGTGGTGGCGCGTCATGGTTAGGAATGAAAATTTGGGTAGCTAGGAATGAAAATAAGATTCGGGGTTATCGCATACCAAGAATTTAGGATGGCCAAGTCCGCAAATTGTTCCAATGCGCTCGAACAGTGACGATGCGCGGTAGGCCCAGGAGATGATATCGGAGTGCGGGTTGGAGTTGGAATCGGGCAATTGGAACACGGTCGATTATGCATATCAAAGTGATCGTCGAAATGTAGATTTTGAGAGCTGTGATAATGGCGTTCGTAGGCGTAGCGGTTTCCTCGATGTGGATGTTCATCGTTGAAGCAATTATTCTCTTGACGATGGTGCTGTCGGCACGGGTAACAATGTTGATAATCTTTTGAATGTGGACAGCGCACCACACATGAAATTTCGTTTAACTTGTTCATCTCATTGGGCTCAGGACTTGATGCAGGAGTATGTAACTCGTGCCATGAATTTATATGCGCACGATAAAATTGCTCCTGGTGGTGTACCCATCGTTCCACAAAATTTCCTGAGGTGTTTGTGGGGCAACCTTTCCTTATGGTATGTTTGAACTGCTTCCTTTGCTTTGAGGGGA